CTTATCATATCTTAACAGGGCACATGCTGGGAGAGAACATTCAAGTGTGGTTCACCGATTTTCAGAACATGGGATGACAAGCTGTGCAGTGGATTCACATGGTGCACACCCAATCAGCCCATTTGGACATTTACTCAGGTTGGAATTGGGATGCACTCTCTCAGAATATGTCAAATCTCAAAATCCCAAACTGCCATCTTATTGGAGGACCTGAGGGTATGCAGTCATTTTTCTCAATATTTTTAATTACTCATGAAAAGATAGATCATGCCAATTCTGCCTTATACACCATTCATTCTGCATTTAGTTCTTCTGTCAGCAAGTCTTCCAGCAAGAGCAGCAGTGGGAGCATCACACATGACAAAGACACTGTTATGGAAGAAGCTGAGCATGGTAGGAAGTCAAATTTTCAACTGAGAAGACTGAAGCTAAAGACTTGTCAGTTAATAGGTCCCTGGTATGGGAACAAGGAATAACAAGATAATGAGATAATAGAAAGTAGGGATGGAGAAACAAGGTATCATGGTGAGGGGTCTGTCTTGGGGATGTCTTGAGGGCATGGGTGTGGAATGGTTATTGGCCTTGAACTCAAGATTGGCACAAGCATGATGATAGTGAATTCCACAACACACAGGCTTTAATGCACTAAATTGGAGGATGCTTCTGACATAATTGCATTGATGGCAAGTAAAGGAAAAGTAAAGGGTTTTTAAGAAAAATATATATATATATACTGGATCAAGTTTTTTTAACATGCCTGAGGTGGCTGAAGTTCCTGCCGAATTTTAAAATTCAGATTTCCTACATCTCATGAAGGTACTTTGATTGCACACTTCAACATAACTGTATCTGCTATTGGCACTGCTGTTGCAGACAGAAGTTATGTAGGTTTGTATTTGCAATTCAACAAAACTAAGGTAACTTGAAGAGGCCTTGATGCACATTGGTAGCTTAGTGGATGCATTGGAGGATAATGGACAGCTCAACAGGAGAGTTGAAGAGGGGCTTGAAGGCAAGCACAGACATGGAGTATGGGATGGTGAATCATGAGATGCTTCTGATAAACTCATACACAGTCAATCATCAATTAAAACAGTCATATAAAGAGAAATTTATTCAACATACTAAACAGAATATCAAGATATGAGTAGAAGCCAGAATTTCAGTGAAAATGAATATAGGTGAAAAGTATGGAAGCATTGGGGAAGAAGAATTAAGTACTAGTTCCTGCAAAGCCATCATTGAGATGTTTCTTACTATGAAATGAATGCATCATCCCAGACTTGAATTTTGAAATCCTCTTGGCAAGATTGGTCAGAGAATGTACTAATCATATAAATATGAGTGTCAGTGAAAAAGAAAAAATGAAGCTCATTTCATACCTTTTTCCCTAGAATTCATAAGGGGAGATTCTGCTCCAGGAACTTTATTCTTTATTTTCTGAGCTTGGATATCCAGTTTCTTTGCCTCTGTGTATTTTCCTAGATGTCGATATGTGGCTGCAAGATGTGCCATGGCCTTGATTGTACATGGGTGTTCCACTCCAAGAATTTTGTTGTTTGCATCCAGAACTTGGATCTGCAGCTTCTCTGCCTCTGTGTATTTTCCCAGTTTATAATATGTTGATGCTAGATGTCCCATGTCACTGATTGTGTATGGGTGTTCCACTCCAAGAATTCTGGTACTTGCATCCAGAACTTGGATTTGCAGCTTCTCTGCTGCTGTGTATTTTCTCAGTCTATAATATGTTGATGCTAGACTTCCCATGTCACTGATTGTATCTGGGTGTTCCACTCCAAGAATTCTGGTGCTTGCATCCAGAACTTGGATCTGCAGCTTCTCTGCCTCTGTGTATTTTCCCAGCTTTTGATATGTGGCTGCTAGATGTGCCATAGCATTGATTGTATTTGGGTGTTCCACTCCAAGAATTCTGGTGGCTGCATCCAGAACTTGGATCTGCAGCTTCTCTGCCTCTGTGTATTTTCTCAGGTTTCGATATGTGGCTGCTAGATTTGAAATGGCAGTGATTGTATCTGGGTGTTCCACTCCAAGAATTCTGGTGGCTGCATCCAGAACTTGGATCTCCAGCTTCTCTGCCTCTGTGTATTTTCCCAGGTTTCGATATGTGGCTGCTAGATTTGACATGGCAGTGATTGTATCTGGGTGTTCCACACCAAGAATTCTGTTCCTTGTATCCACAACATTAATCTGTAAGTTTTCTGCTTCTCTTGAATAGCCTTGTTCCATCAACAATATCCCACACTTGGCATAAGAATCATCTAAGTAAATGACACCATTCTTGAAATGCTCCATACTTGTTCTTATATGTGTTACCAAGACCCTCTGAAATCCATATGGCTGGCCTTTACCCCATCTTAGTGAACAAGACAAAGTAACATATGCCATTAGACAACATTGTTTCTTCTTATTTGAAAGCATTCTGTCTCTGCCCCATGTATGGACCAGTGGATGCATTGCATACACACCATCAGATGGGCCTTTTTTGATCAAGGAGAATGACAGTAATATTCGGACTCCCTCTTTAAAGACAAAGTTATCCCAAGTGCCTGATTTATTGAGAGAAAGTAGTCTCCGGTCCAACAGAGAACTGGCAAGAGGTAACTTTGAGCCAGAAATTTTCTCATTTTCCTGGAGAGCAGCATAAAAAAAGATGTCTTCAGTAATCCCCTCATGATGGAAGAAAGGGAATAATTCCAGAAGGAGTATTGCACTATTGGCTGCTTTGGCCTTATGAGAATTATCAGGTTTAGCCCTTCTCTGAATTTCTTTGTATGATAACTCCCAAGTTTCATAAACAGTTTTGTTATACTTAGAAGCTCCAGTAAAATCTGAATGAAATAATAGTGTCTTTCGGTGCTCTGAATATTTTGCAAGATAGTCTCTGATAGTGGTTGCTCCAGAAGCAATGTAAGCACCAGCCTGATCAATTGCAAGAGGAACACAGAAGAGCTCTTTCACAATCTTAGAAGCTTCAGATTGAAACTCCATTGAAGATGAATTCAAGCAACTAGCTTTTAGAAGTAATTCAAGAGCATCATTCTCTTCCATCTCAGTTACTTCAAGAGAGTTCTCAGGTGAAGTTAGAGTTCTCATGGCAGAGTTGCGACTAGTTATCAGAATATTTCCACCCCTTCCAGGTGGAAGATAAGCTTCCAGCTCAGCAGGTGATAAAACATCAGCATTGTCAAACACCATTGCATAGTTCTCTTTCAGCAAGCCAATCCAACAAAGAGCAGATTCAGGTGACCCATCCAGAGCAGAAGACTGAGCCTCAGGAAGGTTACAGATACCCTTCAGTGCCTGTGTGATGGTGCTAACTGAGGATGCATCAATCCAAAAAACAAGAGAAAAGCTGAAGGTAATTGAATTTGAATTAAAAGGCATTGGAATGGTATTCAGTAGATACTCACTGGTCAGACATCTCCTCAACAAACTTCAAGCAAATTTGAGTCTTTCCAATCCCCCCCATTCCATGCAACAGGAAGAACTTTCTCTTCTTAGCTCTGCCATTTGTGTTGGTAAAAAAATGCCTCTTGAGTTTGGTGATAACTTCTGTCCGTCCTGTGAACCGATTGCTTGGGTTTGGCATGAGGGGGATGACCCCATCGGACATAGTCCTATTGCCGTTGTGGATGTTGTGGATGTGCATCTGCCAGAGATCCGTACTCTCAGCTTCGTTCACTGGTACATTAACACGATAACCATTCTACTCACAGTGTTAGCATTATTGAATGTGCTGTTGTTAGCAACAAAGTGGTGAGCGCCCGCAAGAACGTTCGCTCCGCTCATGTTGAGATATCGACGATGGAAAGGTTTTGGATGAGAGAGGGAAAGGAAGGAAGGGGAGTGCCCAGACGCCAAAAGACCCCCAATCATGCCACGGGTTGGTCTATTTGTATATATGTATTATGGATACACAAGCACGTGCCTTGGCACAAGATTCTCCTTTCCTTCGTTCTTCGGCCGCTTACCTGATTCTGTGGACTGGCTCGACTTTCTAGCATGTTGGTACTTTGCAAGCTCCCTTCGTCCGTGAATGTGGTTGCGGCTGCGAATGTGGAGTTTAACGACGAGTTGCTCACGGTTAAGCGCTTGGGTGGACCCGGTGATCGATCGACGCTTAATGACCACCTGGCATCACACTCACCAGCACCAGCACCAGCAGCAGTATGAAAACGCAACGGTGTATGAAAACCCTACGTTGGCATACCGCACACATAACATATTCGATGTATCAGCGTCCAGCGCATCCTCCACCGCCTCTTCAGCATTCCCAACACACTTTTCCTCATCCTCCGCCACCACCGCCAACAATGGCGCAGGGAGTCAATCAAGCAGCCTACACGACGCTTATCAACAACACCCATTCGACTCTACCCTCCCAGCGATAAACAGTGGGATGCGCTACGACCCTCCTTCTCCTTCCTCCCCTCCCCTCCCTCCCTCGTCCACCACGAACCTACCACCATCATCGTTCCACTCCGCCCACGCCCACCTAACACGACACACATGCTCACCAGCATCCCGCTCCCGCCCCAGATCATGTCCTCCCTCCTCCAGCTCTGCTCCTTTCCCACCGTCATCCGCCGCAAATGGGTCAGGCGGTATGGGGCCTGCAAGGACGACTAGAGCCAGGAGGAATGATAGCATACCTGGCACTTCCCGCCTCCTTTTGGTGTTCACCTGAGGCCCCATGCCATTGTCATTCCAGGGTGTAGGATGGGTAGTTCCCGGGGAGTATTTTGGGTGCAATGGCGCATGCGGGCAGTTCCTTGAGCACTTCTTCAAATGGAGGAGGAGGGGGGGGGAAGGGAGTCGGTGGTATATGCCTGGACAGAGTCAGAGCTAGCTCGTATGCCTCTTTTTCTCGGCGTGTTTCGTGTTTTCGTGAAGCTGATGAACGACGAAAACAGAGCCTCGGAATATTCACTCCCCACACCCAACGACCATCATCAACGATACACCCCTTTCGTGCTTTCCTCATCTCAAGACATGCTCACCATCTCCCGCCTTTGCACCATCATTCCCACCACGCACATTCGCACTCGCTGCCGAAGGGGTTAGACACGCAAGCTGTCAATTTGATATCGCTCCCTCTTACGATCCTCTCCCCCCTCAAAATCAAACTCAAGGTCAAGCACAACAAGTCCAGCTCCCCCCCTCCTTCCTCGGGGGCCGCACCACCACAACAACAACAGGGCCAAGAACTAGGACAACAACAAGCAGTAGGCGATAAACAAGCCCTACTAGCCAACGAGAATAGACGAAGGAGGAGGCGCGAGAGCCATAATGCCGTTGAGAGACGACGGAGGGGTAATATTAATGAGAAGATTAGTGAGCTTGCTACGTTGATTCCGGAGTGTATGTTGGATGTTGGCGGTGAGTTCGTTTTTTTTGGTTTTGGTTCCTCGCCTTTCCTTTTGTATTGCGTTGGATCCCCGTCTGTTCCCCCCTCTTGTTGGTTGGTGGTTGTTGCGATTATTTGCTTTTCTGCGGGTTGCACGTTTCCTTGGATTGGATCGCCTTTCTTTTTCTCTTGCGTTGCATCCCCATCTATTCTTGAATCCCTTGTTCGATTACGTTCCTTGTTACTCCTCCATCCCCAAACCCGAACTCAAACTAACCCCCTCTCCCCCAGGTCCAAACGGAACCGGAAATGGAAACGGCAACGCCTCTTCCCGATCCGCCGCTTCCCCAGGCGCAAGCAGCGGCGGGATCATGTCAAACGGTCTCCCGGACCCAGATTAGATGCTGACACCCGTCGACGTGTTGAATGGGCTTAACAATCTTAATCCCACCGCGAATGGCTTGAACGGGACGCCGACCAGGAAAGATTCGTTGGGCGAGGAAGCTGGAGGAGGGGGAGGGCAGCAGGGAGGGGATGGGGGTGTTGTCAAGGCGAATAAGGGTATGATTTTGAGGAAGAGTGTTGAGTATATTAGGTGGGTTTATTTGTTTTCTTTCCCAATGAAACCAATATTAACACTCCTTCTGTTACTATCTAGATACCTACAACAACTCGTAACAGCACAAGGCGCATGCAACCGCGAGCTCGAACAAGAACTCAAAGCCTACCGCCGACGATCACGCAGCTCTTCAAGCATGGAACCACCACTTTCCGATTCAGCGAGTACAGCGGCTGGGGGGGACGGCAGCAACATGATCCTCCACGACGAGCTGCACCACTTCCACCATGGTGGGCATGGGCATATGGGGAGACTGCCGAGTATGCCAGAGGAGGGCGGGGACGACGGGGACGATCTACGTCTGACAAGTGAGCGAGTCGGAGTTCTTGGCATTTGGCAAACTCATATCAATAATCAGCAGTATCTAAAGCCAATCTCAGCTCCTCCTTGATGGAGCTCAAGGCTGTTGGGATTGCGACATTTTTAATGGCCGTTGGGGCCGTAACAGTTATGTGGAATGTAAAGAGCGCGCTTGGGGTTAACGACGTATGCGACAGTCATCTCTTCTAGCTATCAATTATCTCCTCACTAATGTAATGCAGGCACAAGAGTTTGGCGAAAAGATGTGAATGCCATTCTGGTCCGCGCTTCCGAAAGACTTATTGTCAAGCATCTACCGACCAGCTGCAACTGACGAAGATTACCTTGATGCTTATGAAGTTGTGCCATTCGAGGTGGAGGGTTGGACGTGGGTGGAGGCTGAGAAGAGGCTTATGATGAGGGTGGGTTTCCGTCGTGGGCTCAGATTGCTATGCGGGAGACTGAGGCTGAGGCGAGGGTAGAAAGAGTTAGACAGCAGAGGGAGATGGATGAGAAATGTGGTAGCCTTGCGTTGATTATCGATGTGCTGGCTTCCTTCTAATGCAAAATCGTGTGCAGGAACCGCTTTTCTAAATTTATTTGCGGGGCTTCGACTCTTCCCCTTGCTCGTCTCCATTTTCCGCAGTGGGTATTTGTCCTTGCCTCCTTGTGCACTTTGAGAAGGATTATCAGAGCAGCCGACGAACTGTGAGTTTTTCTCTTTCCGCAGCTGGCACGTTACACAACCAAGGCCCAAGTGCGATATACGGCAAATGCCAAGGAGTCTCCGCCCTGTAACATTTTGTATCGAATGCCAAAAAGGAGTCTCCCTCCGCCCTCATGGTTTCGTATCCCCGATTTCGGATCACAGCTCCTGTGCTCTTCTTTTCCAGTTCGCTCCTACTTATGTCCATTTTTATCGCCATTGCAAAGCATTGCACACGAAAGTACTGATGAATGAAGGGAAAGGCCGAGTCATCATCATCTCTTTCTTTCGCTGGGTGGGATCATGTGTCATCGATAACTCTTTCTTGTTATTGGCGCTCAACTTTGAATTCTGCTCAACCTCATCCGGCATAACACATACTAGGCCTTTGGGAAGAAGTTCTATTAAAAGTAAGATACATGTCAGATAAGACTTGACTTTTCCTGACGCACCCTCCCAAGTTCAGCATGGAAGCCACAATTCAATGCCCGGAACCTGTGATTTCAAATATTTCGGCTGAGATTCGTCCATACATATTCACTAGTGGCTACCACTATTTATGATTAATCTATGACAACTGTCCAAGAGCCATTGTGTATAATGCCACAGGTTTTATGAAAGGCATCTCATTAGGATTGCCCACCTATTTCATTCAATTTGTCACTGGAATCTTTCATAAGTTATAGGCAAGGATAATGAGATATCATGGGGATATTTCATTAGGCTCTTTGGCCCTTTCATTATCATTTCTGAGACTTTTCATTAGGATATTTCATTAGGCTGCTTCGCTTTTTCATTACCATTTCATAGAATTTTCATTAGGATATTTCATTAGGCTCCTTGGCACTTTCATTACCATTTCTTAGAATTTTCATTAGGATATTTCATTAGGCTCCTGCGCTTTTTCATTATCATTTCTTAGAATTCTCATTAGGATATTTCATTAGGCTCCTGCGCTTTTTCATTATCATTTCTTAGAATTTTCATTAGGATATTTCATTAGGCTGCTTCGCGTTTTCATTACCATTTCATAGAATTTTCATTAGGATATTTCATTAGGCTCCTTGGCACTTTCATTACCATTTCATAGAATTTTCATTAGGATATTTCATTAGGCTCTTGGCACTTTCATTACATTTCTTAGAT